TCCCTTGTGACGACGTTACACCACATTGCTTAGAATGCTTTTTGCCTTGGAGTATCGATGCTTAAAGATGCATAAAGCACAAAGATTACACTGCCACTTACAAGGAAACCTTGTAAACCCGAAAACGAAACCTCTGCAGTGCAGCGAAAACTCAAACCCAAAAAGTCTGGTTAAAATTATATATTTGTTAAAAACATGTAAATTCGTAAGAAAATTGAACTTAGCGCAGCCGCCGCGCCGATACGTATCGAGAAAACCTGGACAGCCACTAGCTAGTCAGAAGGTAGCCAGAACATAAAGAAGCAAAATTGTCTAGCTTCTGTTTAGGAAAACTAGACTAGGAAAACTGGATAGGCGCTAGGACCAAACTAGTTTTTCTCAGACAAATTTCCACACGGGTAATGGCAAATAATTCTCTTAATCTCCTCGGCAATTTCAACAATGCGGCATCTTTGAGTGTGTTTTTCCAATAATCATCATTTTCTGACAGTCCTCGTTCTTGGCATGCAGTTTTGAATGTTGGATTAACTACTCCGTTAATCGTTCTCAACATCTCAAAAGAAGTCGGCCCACCAACATGGTGTAATAACATTTGCAGATAAATACACTCTGTTTAATTTGGATGAATTATATAAATTCTTCCAAGAGATGTATCCTTTTTTATATCAGAATATCCTTCAATATCTTGCCCTCTTTTTCTTCTCAAAAATATATTATTTTTCCAGGTATAGTACCCTGGCACTTCGTGATATAGTAACGTTTTTCCAAATTTATCCATTTTACGTAGTTCAAAGAATGCAGTTAACATTTTTCTTTGATTTTCAAGCACCTCACAAATATTGTTTTCCGTAAAGTAGATCTGTTGCCCACTTTTCTAAATGCACTGCCAAATGCATGACACTCGGTATCGTTCATGTATAATATTATAAAATTGAAAAATCTCCAGCAAGCCTCTGAGGTACTTATGTAACATCCATTTACATACTTCTTCACTTCATCCATTTCATTTCAAACAGTGAAGGTTGCTTGTGGTCATTACCTTTATTAATATACTTACATATATATTTTATTGTCTGCACGGAATGACAATACTCAAAGAAGATTATTGGAAGGACTTAGCTGTGTTTCTCGATCGCGGCGCTGACGGAACAAAGCCAGCCAATCCTCCTCGCGCCGCATCTGGTCCTCGCGCGCTCGCGCCTGCTCTTCGCGCATGAGGCTTATCTCGTCAAACATGGCTAGCATCGTCGGTATTTCCAACGAAGACTCAGCTGTATCCATGAGTCTTTTTATGTGCTTCGTAATCAATGAGATGGCGCAGTCTAATTCTTTTCCTTCATACGACATACAATTCCTATGGATAGTATTATTGTTACGTCTCCGCACGGGGACGCAAATCGCCGGATCCGCTCCGTCCTTCCTAGCGTTATCACTTTCACACGCGTACGCAGAAATAAGTAGAGACCGATTTGCACAGGGAAAACGATTGCTTTATTATAATGATCAAGAGCGGACCTCGACGCGTCTGCTCAAAACAGGGGCCAAATTATTATTCCATAAAATGTTGTTAAAAACATATCACATCCGTAACATGGCAACAGGAACAGCATTCAGGGCATTCATGGAACAAGCCACATATCGGGCGTCCGAAACGCGGGCGTAACACTATGTATATGTATACATAACATTAATTAATGGTTAAATATAAGAAAGTTATTTCTATTTCGATAAATAAAAATATTAGTGTTCTAAAAAACCATTAACAAGTTAGAATTCACATGAAAAATGCCTATATTGTTACATATTCGTTTACAAATAATATAAAATAGAAAGGAACGTTTGAAGAAATTGGAAGGCAAATATAATCTTATTGCAAGTACACTTATCAATTACCATATTAGCAAAATACGAATTTTCTATTGCAATGGAGTTTTTTGCACCAGTCCACGAAAGTTTATTAATACTGTTGCGTCTCCGTCGACGCGCAGCCTCTCCGTCGACAAGTCACTCCGCGCACTCGCTTACTCGCGTTTCGCGCCGCGAGTTAAAGAAAGGGAGAGAGGATTAATTAAACGAACGTTCTTTATTGCAGAAATCGAAACACGTCTGCTCTCTAGAAAAGCCCAGAGACCACTCCAAATCAATAATAAACATAAACATGTTGGTCCTTAACGACCGGTCATTCCCGCGCCGCAACTTCAGCTTGCGCGCATTCAACGGGTGGCGAATCGATGCAGGATGCAGGCATAACAATACATAAAAGAATTTTTATCTACTCAAATCGATATTTCATTTTAACATTACGTAAATTAGAAAATACATTGCAACATTTTAATAATAAAGTAACTTTTACAATGTAACATTTCTTTTCTTTATTTGAGCAGAAAATACATTGCATCATTTTAATAATATACATTACACAAATATAAAAAATGTACATTTAACGATATGATACAGTTAACATTAATTCCCTTTTCTGTTTTTACAAATTAATCATCTCCCAAACTTTCTTTCTCCCAAACTCTCTCTTCTCGTTTGCGCTTGCTCTTATTACGGATCAATTTTTCAGGTTTCTCCTTTCTTTCTTCCTCTTCATCTTTTACCCTTATATTTTGGTTAGCCGTTATTTCTCGGTTATTAGCCGTTTCCATTTCATATCGCTCTGCTACCAAAAACAATGTTTTATCCATTCCGTCATTTGGAACTGGAATATTTTAATTAATATTAATATTTTTATATTTTCCTCACAATAAAAAAATACGGCAAATTCTTTTTTAAAATTACTTTCTTGAATATCCTCAAAACTTTTGTGATCCTCCATTCGCGCTCCCGTATGCACACTGTTAGTAGCACGTTACGTTTCACAAAAGCGTGTTATATTTTCGAGAAATGAATGAAAGAAATATGTACAGTTCTTGAATGATATATAACATGAATCTAGCAATATCAAAAGTCGTTAAATTCAAATCCACTTCCAAAGAAGACATGTAAGTCGATTAGTCGCATTTCTCGAAGTATTGTTGCCGCTTTTCCGCGATGCTGATTATCATCGATTTAATATGTGAATTCAAGGTTCAGATTTGGAAAATATTCACTGGGAAAAATTATTAAAAAGCAAAAAGATCATGCTGGGCCGTCATTTGGCATTTATTCACATCTGTTCGATTGATTTTAAATCATAGCGGCCGATTTACTTATTTAATATTATTTAATATTATATATTTAAATGTGTGAATTTAGAAAACTCATCCTGTATATACACATATTACACGGTTAAGCCAAAGTATGGCAACTAATTTTTAAGAAAATGATGTATTTTCAAAAAAAATGTCACCGAAATATTTCGAACGGTTCCTTGAAGTAAATTGTTTTCCATTGTAATTGACTTTCAACGACCTTGAATGACTTTTAACATTCGTACTGTATCTATAATTTGATTGGAAGATAGTAGATCGAGGGGATTTATTTGTTCAATTTCGTTACGAATGTCTTCAAGATCATGTCCCAAAGATAATTCCGAATCAGACTTTTTTTTTTAAAGTTATTTGATAGTTTTACATTATTCTAATCAAATTCATCATCTAATTTTACAATTCCTTTCATGTGTGTCATATTGGCATCTCCTGTGCTTACATTGATTGATTTTTCTTGAAATATATTTACATTGTTTGAAGAATTTTCTTTTATGAGGTTTTCAAACATAATTATATAGTCTTGATAATGTTTTCATATTCTGCTTGTTTAAGTCAATGAATATAGGTTCATGATCTGAAAAATAAGTTTCGTATACTTCAGCTGTATAATCTAATGATCCTTCCGAGATGAATAATACATTATCTGTCTGTGTATTGAACTTTGTTATTGACTTTTGTGCTCAGTGCACGTTTAAATTTTAATTGATTTAAATATTTTTCTAAAACACCTCCCTCATTATATGAGTCGTAATTAAAGTCACCTATTGTAATTTTTTATTACCTATTGGCTTGCCTAAAATATTATTTAATTCATGTATAAACATAATTCTAGATACTGCCGGAGACTTATAACCGGTAATAATTTTCACCTCATTTAAGATTATGTGAATTAAGTCAACCTGACGATGTTGCCCATTTATAATATCTCATCTTTTTGTACATGTTCATCAATAGATGCATTCAGTTCTTTTTTAATAAAGCATATTGTTACGCTCCGCGCGCGTCTTCGCGTTCGCCGATCGCCGTGTCACCGCGCTCACCGATCACGCACTCGGTTCTCGAGGGTGCCGGCACGTACGCGTCAAAGAGACACACCAGATAAGATAAACAGGAACTTTATTACAATAGCAAACACGTCCACACGGCTCGAGAGCCAAGTTTCCGATCTATCGATTATCTTAATAAACAACAGTTGCCCATCGGTACCGTGGCAACCCGCCACGATACCGGGCGCCGCTTTCCATCCGTGAGCATGATTCTTCGCGAGCGTAACACTGCCCCCTCCTCTCCAGATTGTCGTCCCGACAATCAGAGGGGGAACAGTTCTCCGACAATTTTCTTGAAGACTCCAGGGGCAAGACAGGACTCCAGTCCTTCTTCCCTACGGGATAGTCTCCAACCGGATTTTCCTGGGGAAGGTGATCAGTCTCCCCCCACCGGATCCAGGGCGACTCCTTCCCACGGCAGTCTTCTCTCTTGTGGAACTGCATCGCAAAATAAAAATCCGTCCTTTTTTTGATGTTGTTTTCCGAAAGCTATCTTGACGACGACGATGATGACGTCCACGATGGCGACGACAACGACGACGAAGCTGAAAATATCGTCACTCGAAGTCGACCTCTTGTAAGTCTTCAGACAAGGGGGGGGGGGAATTCTTCCCGTGGACCCAGCGCCTTTTCAGGCTCCCCGAGTCCCTGCCCCTGCATTTGCTTAAAGCCACGTGGGAAAAACTACGGGATCAAAACAACCACGGGCGGGGCAGTCTTCTTTTTATAAAAAAAACGATTTCCTCCCACGAAGGAAGAATTACAGCGCCGTAGAACATGGACCATCTTCAAGAAAATCTTGCAGTTCTGACGGCCTGAAAGATAAAGAACAACAAAACAAAACAGCAAATATGAAACAAAACGAATGATTAAATTTAGTCATACATTCACATAGACCATTCATTCTCCTTACGTGGATTCTACTTTTAATTAAATCCCTCTCTTTCTCTAAAAGAAGCTAACCTATCGGCATGTACGATTTTCTTCCGATGTTTTGGAGTCTTTTGTATGCAGAATACAACGTCACTGAGTTTCCTAACTATAGAGTATGGCCCTTCCCAATTTCTCTGCAATTTAGGAGCTTTTCCTTTTATTCTATGAGGATTATAAAACCACACTTTTTGTCCTTTTTTAAAATGAAGTTGCCTAACTCGACGATCATAACGAACTTTTACGTGCGACGAACCAATGTCAACACGTCTTCTAACTTCCATATGAATTTCTTCTAATTTCCTTCGAAGATTTTCTAAATAATCACCTGAGAATCCAGAAGTTACAGTAGAAGAATTTGGAGGACTTCCTCGAAATAGATCCAGAGGCATTTTTAGATCTCGACCAAAACAAAGTTCTGAAGGTGACAAACCAGTCGTTTCGTGTTTCGACGTTCTATAGGCTAAGAGAAACATGGGAATCCAACGATCCCAGTCCTTCTGATTAGACGAAATGTATTTTGCTAAAAAGTTGGTTATGGTCTGGTGCTGTCGTTCCACTTGACCATCAGATTGTGGATGAAGAGCTGTAGTTCTTGTTTTCTTTATTCCCAAAATTTCCATCACCTCTGAAAACAATTTCGAATCAAAATTTTTTCCTTGATCTGTGTGGACCTCAGAAGGAACACCATATCTCCGCAAAAATCTCCGCAACAGTTTTAGCTCGAATATTTCTTACTGGAAAAGCTTCCACCCACTTAGTGAAGCAATCCACAATGACAAGTAAATACCTATTACCAGAGGTAGTATAAGGTAAAGGGCCCAAAATATCCATTTGCACCCTTTCAAAAGGAGAATTAACGTTGTAAATTTGTAAAGGAGGCTTTCCTTTTCCTAAAGGACCCTTTCTTGATGTACAAACCATGCAAGAACGACACCATTCTTCAACATCTTGTTTGCAAGTTGCCCAGAAAAATCTTTTCCTGATTTTATCCAGAGTCTTATTGATTCCGAAATGACCACCTGAAGGAGAATCGTGAGCCTGTTCAAGAATCTCCTTTACACGGCTACGTGGGACTACCAATTGCATTATTGAAGTCTTTAGGTTCGGGGCGTACCACTTCTTATATTATACAAGACCCCGTCTTTAAGGCAGAGAGCATCCCAATATAGCCTATAAATTCGGCTAGAAGTATTCTTTGGAGAGGAATCCAAACATGGTGGGCGCTTCCAGCCTCCTTTCCAGAAACGACTATCGCCAAGTCTGGATCCTCTCTCTGGTCCTTACGCCATTCCAGTTGGCTTCTTTCGGGGATGACAATTCGTACTACAATCTTTTCGGGCTCATGGGCAGTTTTCTTTTCGATTTTAGTGCAATAGTTGCATCCAATTGATTCGCATAGCCGTCTTGAAAGCCCATCTGCGTTTCCGTGTAAAAGTCCTTTCCGATAAATAATCTCGAAATCATAACGTTGAAGTCTTTCTAACCAACGGGCTAGCTGGCCTTCTAAATCCTTAAAAGACATAAGCCATCTTAACGAGATATGATCTATACGAATGAAAAACTTCCGTCCTAGTAAGTAATGTCTGAAAGATTTCACTGAATCAACTATCGCCAAGAGTTCGCGGCGAGTTACACAATAATTTCTTTCTGCTTCACTAAGAACACGACTAAAATAAGCTATAATCCTTTCCTTCTTGTTTCTGAGATAGGACTGCGCCTATACCAATGTTTGAGGCGTCAGTATCTAAAATTAGTTCTTCGTTCCCTTTTGGAAAAGAGAGAATGGGTGAAGAAGACAAAACATGTTTCAATTCGTTAAAGGCCTTATGGGGTTCCTTTCCCCAAGAAAACCTAGTTTTATCTTCTGTGAGCACAAAAAGGGGTTTCGCAACAGAAGAGAAACCTTTAACAAACTTCCGATAATATGAGCAAAAACCAAGAAAACTACGTAACTGTTTCTTGGTATGCGATACTGGCCAGTCTTTTACTGCCATAATTTTTTCAGGATCAGTAGTAATGCCCTCTTTCGAAATAACATGACCCAAATACTTAACATTTTTAGAGAAAAACACACATTTTTCCGGGTTTACTTTTAAATTTACTTCTTCAATTCTTTCAAAAATTAATTTTAAATTTTTTAACATCTCATCGAAAGTCTTACCGAAGACTATTACGTCGTCCAGATATACCAAACAAATCTTTGTCAAAAATTTTCGTAAAACTTTTTCCATAAGTCGTTCAAACGTTGCAGGGGCATTACACAGTCCGAAAGGCATAATGGTAAATTGCCACAGCCCTCTTCCTATTGAGAAGGCAGTTTTCTCTCTGTCTTCTGAACGAATTTTGACTTGCTAGTAACCGCTTTTTAAATCTATTGTGGTAAACCACACGTTACCTGATAATTGATCGAAGATATCGTCTATCCTGGGGAGAGGATATGAGTCTTTTACCGTTACAGCATTCAGTTTTCGATAATCAACACAGAATCTTAATCCTCCATCTTTTTTCCTAACTAGAACTGCAGGAGAAATCCAAGGACTTTGAGACTCCTCTATTATTCCACGATTCCTCATTTCCTCAATAGTCCTGTCTACCTCTTCACGCATTTGTAAAGGAATTCGACGAGGGGCCTGTTTAATCGGGGAAGAATCTTTAACATTAATGACATGCTCGAGAACGTTACAATTTCCTGCAACGATCTCCTGTGAAAATACATTCTTAAATTCATTCAGGAAGACTGCAAAATTATTTCTTTGATTATAATCCAGATTTCGAGAATCTCTAATAAAGAGTTCCTTTAAAAACGAAGGAACTTTCTCAGAAGAACTTTCTATCCGAGCACAATTAATAATCTTTTCTTTAACTGGTTCAGATTCACAAAAAGCGAAATTAAAAACATCCACTAGATTGATCCTTTTAAGAAAATCGACACCAAGAAGACAATCATTATATATCTCAGCTACGAACATTGGAATTTCTAAAGAATATTTCCCGATTTGAACCTCAGTCAAAGTTTTTCCCTTAGTGGGAGCCCTTTCCCCAGTGGGATATTTAAGGTTGCCGACTCCTATCTCAAGATTCAAGTCTCTACTTTTAATAAACTTTGCATTAACAATGGAAACATCGGAGCCCGTATCGACCTTAAAGAAACAATTCTTTCCATTCAGTCTTCCTTCATAACAAAAGTTTTTACATCTAACATCATACAATTCATTCTTACTTTTAACACTCTTAACATCATAACAATCATCAATAAAATTAAAATCGCGCATGCACAAATTCCCGTCCTCTTTCTCTTTAGTTAATGGGGCAATTCTTCTACTACAGTTGAGTCCGCCCCACAGAGTTCAACTAAACCGCGTTTTCCTTCTCCTCGGAGCAATCAGACCGGAAATGCCCGGTCTTCCCACATATCCAACATTCCCGACGATATGCAGCAGACTTTCTGTCTCGCCATTCCCCTTTTCGGGTGCCTTTCCTTTTCCCGTTTTCCACAAACTTTTCATTTTTGTCTATCTCGCGCCCTTTTTCCTCCGACGCGCTCTTTTTCCCTTTGAAATTGTAATCTCTACGAGAGTTTTCTCCCCTCCGGATAATTTCGATGGCCTTTGCCCTCTCAATAGCCACACCCAAGGAGGATACCCCTTCTAATTGCAGGGTACGTCTGACAAAATTGTCCCAAATGGCGGAAACAAACTGCGCGCAGGCTATTTTATCGCGTACGTGATGGGGACACTCTGAATACGCCAGACGCGACAGCCTCTCTAATTCTGAACCGAACGTGGCCAAATCTTCGCCAAATCGTTGTTTGCGATTTATAAATTGTGTATAGAAATTTTGAGATAAATGGTCTTCCCCAAAACGCAACTCTAATTTAGATTTTAATTCAGAAAACTCCAAGTTAGTTATGTCTTCCACGGACTCTAAAACCGAACGCGCTTTTCCCCTTAGACATGAAGCGAGAGCCACTGTTTTCGAGGCGTCCCCCAACCGTTCGCGCGCGCGATCAGTTCAAACTGTGAGAAAAACTCGCGTATCGGTACTACCCCGTCATACGTATCGGGCTTGAGCTTATAGCCCAGCATCGCGCGTGCATCACCGTCCCCGACAAACGGTCGTTCCGAGCCGGCGCGACCGTCCCCGTAACTCCGTGACTCGACTCCGCGTCCCCCACGGCAGTATTATAGGAGCGACTTAGCTGTTCTTTTAAGACTCGCAGCTCCTCATCTCGGGAACGCAACGCCGCCGCGAAGTCGTGATCCCGGCGCGTCTACTCCTCGCGCATCTGGCGGATCTCTTCCATTACCGCCGCAATTTCCATTATGTTTGTCGGCTCGCTCGTTGGCGTCGTCTCCTCGCGGCGTTTTTTTCTGGTGGCGTAGGCCGTCCTCACTCTCCGCCGCTCGTCCGGGATCCCGGACGAGCCCCCAAATTGTTACGCTCCGCGCGCATCTTCGCGTTCGCCGATCGCCGTGTCACCGCGCTCACCGATCACGCACTCGGTTCTCGAGGGTGCCGGCACGTACGCGTCAAAGAGACACACCAGATAAGATGAACAGGAACTTTATTACAATAGCAACACGTCCACACGGCTCGAGAGCCAAGCTTCCAATCTATCGATTATCTTAATAAACAACAGTTGCCCATCGGTACCGTGGCAACCCGCCACGATACCGGGCGCCGCTTTCCATCCGTGAGCATGATTTTTCGCGAGCGTAACAATATTATTCCTTTTGGAAAACGTTTAGTATAATTATCTGTTCGAAAAAGAATATTAAATCCCTCAAATATTATATTATCTGTTTTGATTGTTTGTGTTTCTGAAAAAATTAATAAATCTGCTTGTTTATACCATTTATCACAAGTTATATAGTTAACATTTTTATTTAATGTTTGTACGTTCTGGTAAATAATTTTTATTTGATTTCTTTTTATAACTCTTGAAAATGACAATATAAGACACTTCTTCTCTTTTAGACGTTTTATTTCTAATTATAAATGATTATTTGGTGATGGTTTTTTTGGAGGACTAAAATTTCCAAGAATGTATAATTCTGATAATTTTGTCACTCTACTGATTGCTACATAAAGCATTGGCCTAGTCATTCGATAATTTTCTCTTAAATCAATACATACTTTTTCGTATATTTGCCCTTAACTTTTATTAGTATGACTTTAGTATTACCTACAGATCTTAAATATTCGTCTATGGGTTGAGGTAGAGGGTAATTCTCGCTCTTTATATAATCCAAGAACTTTGTCTCTTCATATGTAGTGTCTCCTGAATATGCTTTAATAGTAATAAATCTTGCGTATAAATGTTCACACGCATACCACAAAAACATACTTTTAGACACAAACTTTGTAAAGTTTCTATCGAGCGCCTGTAGAGCATCGTATTGACGTTCCACTAAAGGTATATACCCTTCAGCAGTGACTGCGAATTCGTTTAGTGCGTTGTATGGTACTAACCCCTCAAATCCGTTCGCGTCGAAGTCGACCCACATCGGGTCATTCCTAGGGTGAGATGGTTTTTCAGCTAGGTTCTTGGGTGTCGGCTTAACACTAGGATCTAACGTCGAAAGTTTAGGTAATGTATTAATTACCGTCTTCTTCTGTTGTTGAGGCCCTCGCTTTTTCGCAATAAACGGTTTCTTCTTAATAACCTCGGTAGTCTTCGCTACCCCAGAGGCCGAAGCCTCATCCTGAGGTTTATTTCCGTCGTTCTGCATGACAAGCTCCGCTTAACTACACCAAATTATTATTATAAATGAATTAAACAAAAATTTGGGGAAAATTGTCAAAGCCTCGGCAGGCGTAATGGGAAATTGTTGCCTCACGATTTGATACTCCATTCTTTCATTGATGTTCAATACAACAGAAAGTGGTGAAAGCGGAACCAAAGACATTCCCAAATGATTTTCGATCATATACTCAAGTATGGTCTCCGATATTCTACACCAACTCTATCATTATTGAAAGTTAATCATATTTTGATTGGTTCATCTGTTTCTGGTTTAAACGTTATATGTATTCTTCAATTTGCCACAAGCTCCGTTAACTAGACCATCTTCAACATCTATATTACATGTTATCATGTAGTTGATACCAATTTTTTAAGTAATTTTTTATGACAAGCCTCCACATTCTGTTCTTTTTTATTTTTTAATGATGTCAGTAATTTGTTTCTCAATTTACTATTAACTTTTCCTAAAATAGAGTCTTTGGCTATAGATTCATAAGCTATTCCTTCTATTGAATCAATTTTTATTTTGTTAAAACTATCAACCAAGCGATTTTCAGCATATAATCTGATTGCATCTTTTGGAACATCTTCTTCTGTCGTTTCTCTTGATTTAATAAGAACAATATCACTATCAGACATTATTCCTCTTGCAACGTTGTTAAGGGCCTCTATAAATGTTTTATCTTCTCTTTGTCTCATTATTTCCGTCAACTCAAATAATTCAAATTCATTCCATAGAACATTTTCAGAAAAAATAGTTAACATACTAGATTTTGGAGAAAGATATATCGAATTATCCATAACCGGTGGTAATTGATAAATTTCACCAACTACTACTACAGAAACTCCACCAAAGCTTCTATTAAAACCCATAATTTGTCTTAATCTTGTATCGACTCGACTAAACATAGTCCCACCATTGATATTTCATCTATAATTAATAATTTTAATTCGATTAAGTTTTCTCGAAGTGTATTCGCAATATCCGCTGACAGTTCTGGTATTTGTCCTCCGTACTGTGTTATGGGTAATGCAAAAGCAGTGTGTAACGTTACGCCACCTATTAGAAATACTGCTTTTCCGGAGGGTGCACATAATAATATTTTTAGCGAATTGTTCTTTTTACCAGGTGTCTCATCAAAGTAATTCATTAACAACTGATAAATCGCGTTGATAACTGTGCTCTTTCCAACACCTGCAGAGCCACTAATGTACAATCTAATTGGTAAAATTCCAGTTGCCAAACAATGTAAAACGTGCATTGTAATTTCCCTTTGCATGTCGTTTAATTTACAAAGACTACTCATCATTTCTTCCTTTGTTATTTGTGGGGGACTAGTTATTTTCCTTTTTTTTTTGTACAATCGGCTGCACCTGTTTGACTAAATATATCTATCTCTTGATCTTTGGTTATTTTTGTTTTCATAAAAGATTCGATCTCCTCATCTTCTATATCTCGTTGATCTATTTGAGCTTGAGCCAAGGCATTGTCAATTTCTACATCACCTATCACAGAGAAATTTTTTTCTA